TATCGCAGCATACCTAGCGCATAACACCCAGGGAAACAGGCTGACACCTCAACAGGGGCCGGTGGCTAGTCAGTTTTCACTGTGACCCTGTACATTGCCACAGGGTTCAGAGAGCTCTCATCACAAAATCAATATTATGATGTTAGCAACGCACAATGTAGATTTAAAAGGAACATATATATCCTATATATTATTATTGTTATGATTTTAACCTGTATTTATCGCGTCTATTACACATTGCATATGCTTAGGACACCTTTTTTGAACAGGTAACTAATTGTTTTAGCAAAAATCGTTTGATGGTTATCTTCTTATTTTTAGATATTAGGAATTTATTTTTATCGGTTATATAATATCAATTCAGGATTTTAATCACTTCTCAATAAACTTTTGACCCGTTCAATACACTAACTGGAACATATTCAGCCACCTGACCTCATGTCTCAAGTGTCATCTATACAGCATTACGTCACACCTTTTGTATAAAATCGTTTCATCACTGGACTGACGTATGTTTATCTTGTCATTGGCAAATCACCGTCATGATGAAATTGATGTCAACATTTTAGCAATGTTTCAGCAATATCACCACGGATGACGCCAGGAATGGGCTTCACACATTGCACACATGTGAGTATGGAACCCAGGTCTTCGGCGTCACGAGCGAACGCTTTTACCACTAGGGCTACACCAGCGCCCGGAACGTTTGTTGAAACTGAGCAAATCTAACCATTATGTTCTCTATTTGAAAATAATAATTGCCAAACACAACATAACTTAAACTAACCTTAGTGTAATTTTGTTTTAATGCCAGTTATGGATCTCTGCACGTAATTGTGTCACAAAATAATTTACTTTGAAACGTTGTTTTTGTATAGTATAATCCTCCTCCTTTGGCGACGGGGGCGGTGGGGTAGCCTAGTGGTTAAAGCGTTGGCTCGTCACGCCGAGGATCCGGGTTCGATTCCCCACATGGGCACAATGTGTTAAGCCCATTTCTGGTGTCCCCGCCGTGATATTGCTGGAATATTGCTAAAAGCGGCGTAAAAACTAAACTCAGTCAGTCCTTTGGCAACACGATCCGTGAAGATCGGGGTTAGAATTAATCTGGTCTTCAGCAACCCATGCTTGTCGTAACACGCGATGAACGGGATCGGGTGGTCGGGTGATTGTATCCCAGTTGCGTATACGTAGATCGATGCAAGCGATGTCAATCACAGGCTTGTCTGGTCCAAATTCGATTGTTTGCAAACTGTCATCATGTTACTGAAAAACCGTCGAGTTAAACAAAGAACAACCAAACAACCTTAGCTTGTAATAGGTTGTCAAACTTAGGTTCGACAGTTGGTGTTAAAACAATAACCTGACAAACCTACGCGCGACGTTGAAAACATACATCGTTAACAATAATCCTTGAATACAGAACATTATGTCCTCATAAACAAAATTACTTTTGATGTAAAACAAACTATAGCTGTGAAAAAATATAGAAATGTATCACTGAAAATCACTCATGACTCCAGGTGTCACCAAACGTATATGACACCAGGTGTCACATACCGCCGTATATAACACCAGGTGTCATCCAAACGTAGATGACACAAGGTGTCACACCCCAACGTATATGACAACTGCCATTGAATCTCTACGGGGAAAATGTGTCACCTGATGAAGCAGTAAGTATATCCTTCACCTGACGAAGGAGTAAGTATCTCCTTCACCTGACGAAGGAGTAAGTATATCCTTCACCTTATGAAGGAGTAAGTATATCCTTCACCTGAGGAAGGAGTAAGTATATCCTTCACCTGAGGAAGGAGTAAGTATATCCTTCACCTGAGGAAGGAGTAAGTATATCCTTCACCTGACGAAGGAGTAAGTATATCCTTCACCTGACGAAGGAGTAAGTATATCCTTCACCTGATGAAGGAGTAAGTATATATCCTTCACCTGATCAAGCAGTAAATATATCCTTCACCTGACGAAGGAATAAGTATATCCTTCACCTGACGAAGGAGTAAGTATATCCTTCACCTGATGAAGGAGTAAGAATATATCCTTCACCTGATCAAGCAGTAAATATATCCTTCACCTGATGGAGTAAGTATATTCCTCTCCTGATGAAGGAGTAAGAATGTATCCTAAAACGTTGTGCTTCACATATTGCAGAAATTGACCGCTGACATGTTTTAAGGGATTATGGTTATACCCGGTATTACAGTGAGTGAGTGAGTTTAGTTTTACGCCGCACTCAGCAATATTCCAGCTATATGGCGGCGGTCTGTAAATAATCGAGTCTGGACCAGACAATCCAGTGATCAACAGCATGAGCATCGATCTGCGCAATTGGGAACCGATGACATGTGTCAACCAAATCAGCGAAACTGACCACCCGACCCCGTTAGTCGCCTCTTACGACAAGATAGTCGCCTTTTTATGGCAAGCACATGGGTTGCTGAAGGCCTATTCTACCCCGGATCTTCACGGGTCACACGGTATTACACATCAAACTGGACTGTATACGTCATATTTATTGGTTTTCATCAGGCTTCTGTGTTTCTGTGTTTCCAACAGTACTTTAGTCTAAATCCTATCGAAAAAAAACCCTGAAAACAATAGATCAGACTATAGATGGAAATTTAGTCGCTCAGCCAGGTATGACGACGGACCGTCGACTCACATGGCATGAAATGCACGTGCTGCCCACAGACACAAGGGTCATCTCAAAGATTTTATTTTATGTTGTTTCATGTGTATTGAATATGTCTCTATTGATTAGCTTATCTTAGCTAATATCGTTCCCGGCCCGACCCCAACCACCGTCTGCGACACCCGTCCTGGTTTTGCCTTTGAGACGACCCTTACATACATGCATGCATGCATGCATGCATACATACATACATACATACATACACACACACACACACACACACACACACACACACACACACACACACACACACACACATACATACATACATACATCCTTAATAGTTTCAGTATTAAAGTTATTAATTTTTACGTCTGCTATCGTTTATAATGAAGCTAACTCTAATTTCAAAATGATCATTTAAAAAGTGTCTTTTGTAATACAACATTATCGCACACTAATTTGCATATAGCCATGGTCTGTTCTGTATAAGTCGCATTGGACTCAGAAAAAAGCCGCATTGCTCATTTCTGCACTAATCTCTCCTCAGTAAATTCCTTTTTCTACGTTTCCTATCTCCCTACCGCTGAGACTGTAGTTAGGCCGAACTTAGTGTAACAGATATTTCACACCTTCACATATTAACTACCTAAATTGTAGATATATTAATGTGAAAAAAAAGTTTTTCTTCTATTTCCGACAGAACTTTAGTCAACAAATTTCACTTAAACTGTAGCTACTGAAATCAAGCGAATGCACGGCAACTCGGTATACATCATGAAAGATACCCATACTTAGGTAGGAGTGTGTTATATGCTGAATATACATCGATAGGCACATAATAACCTAAGTAAATTAATGCACAGGCTGCTTGCTAAACGAATACATATTAACAATGCAAAAATGAAATAAAGGTATTGAACACTAGAATATATAAACATGGATACATGATGTTTGTGACGTGTCTGGTGTTCTCCGTCATAGTATGGCTGGAATATTGCTAAAACCGACGTCAAACTATACTCCTTGATTCAAATCAAAACTTGTCTAAGTTAATTCGCCTGCGTCGGGAAGTGGGTTTCAAATACATGTTGAAATGTTTACCATTGTTGCGGGTATATTTCTGTAGTTGCGCCTTGGACAATTCAGTAAATCTGTATTCTTGTTCATATTTCTGACCAAATAATACACACTGATAACACATATCTCGTCTTAACTTACACATGGCGTTTAGGCATACCCTCTAAAGTAAATTGGTCAAAATAGAAGTGGCCTTTTCTAACCTACAAAGTGAAATGGTCTGTCCTACCTTCTGCAGTGAAAAGATCTACCCTACCTTCCAAAGTGAAATCATCTTCATTACCCTCTAGGTTGACGGACTATAGTGCAGTGTAGGTGAGGTGAAGTGAAATTGGGTTTAACGTCGTGCTTGAGAATATTTCGCTGATATGACGACGTGCATGCGTGTGTATGTGTATGTGCGGCTGCTTGTACTAGCCCACACTGAAGCTTGTTTTATAGTGCTAGCCCACTGAGATACCATGCCGCAGTGAAGCATGAATACCCCACTCATTATACTGACTCATTACACATTATACTGACTCCGAGTCGACCAGTCCTTGTTGTACCCATCAATGCCGAACGCCAAGCAGGGACCAACAAGTACCGTATTTTAACGTCTTTTGGTATGACGCGGTCGGGGATGGAACCCGCGCCCTTCCGCTCTCCGGGCGGACGCTCTAACCACTACACCACGGAGGCGGTCTAGTGCAGTGGACCTCTCTAAACCGCATAGTATACCGAACACTCATTACGCACAATACTGGACAGTCTGGTCTAGTGATGATTATTATAGGACAACGTGCGATGTGCTCAGGATTACGTGTCACCTGTCATGGCTTTTTCATTGTCATTGTTTGAAGTTACAAAAAATAAATAAGATATAAAAGTCATGTTGCTACGTGACGAGCTTGATAAGGAAATACCGCCGTAACGAATCTCATCTCTATGGGATGCTAAAACCAATATTCTTATCAAGGACGAGACTAGGATTCGAGGGGCGGTAGGGTAGCCTAGTGGTTAAGCGTTCCTTCGTCATGCCGTAGACCCTGGTTCAATTTCCCACATGGGTACAAAGTGTGAAGCTCATTTCTGGTGTCCCCCGCCGGGATATTGCTGAAATATTGCTGAAATGGCGTAAAACTAAACCCACTCACTAGGATTCGAACCCACACTGGATTGTGTGGACGTCTAAGACACACAAACTGATTTAATAATAATTGATCAGGAAATACCAAGGAAACACAATACCCGGTAATATTTACACCCACGTGATATGGTTTTTATCTTCCGTGTTGGATACGACCAGCTTGTAGTAACACGAGTTCAACCACTTGAGGTTGGGATCTTGGTGGTACATGTAAGTATAGTTGATTTGTCAGTGTTTCTCAACATATTAGGGGTGGTGGGTAGCCTAGGGGTGAAAGCGTTCGCTTGCGAAGCCGAGGAACCGGGTTCGATTTCCACGTGGATACAATGCGTGAAGCCAATTCTCTGTCGACCCGTGAAGATCCGGGGTAGAATAGGTCTTCAGCAACCCATGCTTGCCATAAAAGGCGACTATGCTTGTCGCAAGAGGCGACTAACGGGATCGGGAGGTCAGTTTCGCTGACTTGGTTTACACATGTCATCGGTTCCCAAATGCGCAGATCGATACCCATGCTGTTGATCACTGGATTGTTCAACCTTACAACCACTACATCACGGAGGCGATCCACATCCAAAATTAGTGCGGCGGAGATCGGTGTGGTGAATAAACATTCTCTTTGATCACAATTTATGTACATGTAATGTTTTTTACACAAAGCTCAATTGAGCAAACGCTTGTCAAACGGGAAGAATTTCTATGTTTGTTCAAAGAGAGCACCCTAGTCTCTGTGACTCGTGTTATGTCGCAATGTTTGAGGAAATAAATAAATTCGATAAATACTTCCTCGAAGTTACTTGCACAAAGTAGTTTAATTTAAGTTTATTTATTTTAAGTTTATTTATCCTAAAGACTATCCTGACTTCACGACGTGGGAGGGTTGCTCATTCTTTTAATCATTGGTTTTATTTAAAGGACGTGAAATTGCTAGAATATCGCTAAATGTGGAGTTTGGCAAACTTCCAGCCTTAACTGATGACATGATAGCTCAAATCAAATGTAACTTCCCCTTTAAATTCCCTCTAAAAATCATTTTTGTGATTCTCAAAATAAGCAATAATATTGAAGCCTTTGAAACATTAAGGAACGCTTTTAAAAAACCTTTAATGGGTGATTAACTCATAACAGGGTTGTTATCAAAATAAGCAGTATGGCTACTCGTTAGAAACAGAAAATAGATAAGAATTTCACTGAGGGGTATGACGGTATTTCTTTCTGGTGATTCCCCAAATTAGCAAGGTATTTTTTCAAACGCTTTTACTTAAAATCTCCAGAGAATAATATAACTGCATTTCTTTCTAGTGGTTTTAAACTGAGCATTATCGTTTTTTTGCACCTTTGTAGTGAGTGAGTGAGTGAGTGAATGAGTTGGGTCTTTTTTGCAATATTCCAGTAATATCACGGCAGGGGACACCAGAAATGGGCTTCACACATTGTACTCATGTGGGGAATCGAACCCGGGCCTTCGGTGTGACGACCAAACACTTTAACCCACCGCCCCTTTCACCTTTGTAACACGAGTAACGACATAAGTGATTTCAAAGGCAGATATGGCTGTGTTCCCTCCAGCGAATTTCATCAGTAATAGTAATTTCTGTTTTGGAATATGAGTTAGTGAATAGCTGCCTCACCCGGGTCATCCTTCCACACAACCTCCAAATACTGCCTCATCCCTCCACACCACTTCCAAATACTGCCTCATCACAATACTAGGCACATAAAGAAACTGTGTATATCAAAATGTAAAATCTAAATTTATGAAACCTGTGTAGACACATAAGGATTCAAACTCAGAGATTAGTGACATGTATCCAACAAGCATGCACGTGCCACGTTCCGTGACGTCAGTGGGTTCGTCCTGGAGACGTGCAATACGTTGTTGCACGTGCATTCCGGGAAAGAGAAACAAAGCAAATGAATGTCACACAATACTGTCACTTTGGAAAGCTCAACCCCTGCCATTGTGATCGTTCAAAACATTAAACGGCTATTGAAACGCATAGCATGCCAAGGCCCACGTCTGCACAACGTCATGAGGCCATTGGGATGGTCCGTGGGGGAATGTCTCAACGACAATTGGCTGCACATTTCCACTGCCACCGGAACACCATTTCTGCACTGGTGAGATGCTACCAGAACACAAATGACGTCATCGATCGGCCACGTTCTGGACGTCCACGTGTAACAACGCCAAGACAGGACATATGGATAAGGGTGACCCATCTTCCCCACAGGTTTCAGACTGCAGTGATGACCGAACCATCCCAGGACTTCGACGTATCCACCCCAACACAGTTCGACAACGTTTACGTTATCAAGGGATCAGACCACGACGTCCCGCCATACGGCCTATCCTGACACAACTTCATCGACAAGCTCGCCGAATGTGGTGCCGAAATCATGTCCGCAGACCCTTGTTTTGGTGGAGAAATGTTGTTTTTACAGATGAGTGCAGGTTTAACATTTCCCCATAGTGATGGACGTCAACGTGCCTATAGACGCGAGGAAAAACGTTATGCACAGGCCTGTGTCTTGGAGAGGAATCGCGTTGGTGGTGTTTCCGTGATGATTTGGGGTGGAATAACAGCACGCCAAAGAGCTCCTTTGGCGATTGTTCAGGGCAACTTAACTGGTGTGGGCTACAGGGATCAGATTCTTCGACCTGTGGCAATTCCTTTTCTGCAACGTCATGGCCCTGGGTTAACATTCCAACAGGACAATGCCCGCCCTCGTACGGCAAGGGTTGCTATGGATTTCTTACAACACCACAACGTTGACTTACTGCCTTGGCCTGCAAATTCACCGGAACTCTCCCCGATAGAGTATGTTTGGGACGAGCTGGATCGACGTCTACGCCGTCTTCCTCATCCGCCAGATAACGCCCTTGACCTTGCAACAGAACTTGAGAGAATCTGGCGTGACATCCCACAAGCCTTCCTTGCACGTTTGATGGGCTCTATGCGTCATCGATGCACTGTTGTTCTCAATGCCGATGGTGGACATACCCGTTATTGAGCTTGTGACATGTCTCGTTTGACCCCTGTCCCGCTTGTGGACTCGTGACGTCATTGTGATTGACTTTTCAATTGAAATTCTCCCGGCTTGTTATGGTCTCCTGATCCCTCCATTAAAGTTTATATGTACCTTTGACATTGTTATCGTACTTATCAACTGGGATAATATTTTGACAATGCACAGTTTCTTTATGTGGCTAGTATACTTCCTCATCCCTCAACACCACCTCCAAATACTGCCTCATCCCTCCACACCACCTCCAAATACTGCCTCATCCCTCCACACCACCTCCAAATACTGCCTCATCAATCATCACAATCTCAAAATACTTCCTAATCCTTTTGAACAACCCCCAGATACTGTCTTATTGCCTTCAAATAACCTCCCCACTGATCTACTGAGTCTAGTATTATGATTCTTATTATTGTTCGGCTAACCTCCAGATACTACTTCACCCCTCCTCACAACCTCCAAATACTGCCGTATTGCCTTCAGAAAATCTCCGTTGGCTCGCCACGCCAAAGACCCGGGTTCGAATCCCCACATGGGTACAATGTGTGAAGCCCATTTCTGGTGTCCCCTGCCGTGATGTTGCTGGAATATTGCTAAAAGCGGCGTAAAACCAAACTCAGTCAGTCAGTCAGTCAGAAAATCTCCACAAATAATCTGCTGTGTCTAAATTTATGATTCTTTTTATTGTATGGCTAATGTATTTTCAACAGAATAGCTTCAGTTATACATGAATTAAAATTGTTTGTTTTCAGTTTACAAAACAACAACAACAACAACAACGTGAACACTCTTTTGAGTCAGCATACGCTCTAGTCCATCGACCACTTCATTGTCAGGTAAGAAACACTTACACTTTTATAATTTATACTATTTACACAGCTGTTTTGCCTTAACGTTCCATAGAAGACAGTTCTGAACACTGGCGTTTTATATGCACACCGTTTACAAATCTAAGGAATAGAATCGGAAAGAGTAAATATGAATGGAATTTCTAGTACCTCTGACCTCTTCTTGTTGTCTTCAATATAAGTGACTGAACGCTTTCCATGTGAAATATCTGCTAAAAGCAGAGTCGATTCTACAAAACGAGTATTCTTTCCGAGTGGGCTTGTTTGTTTGTTTGTTGGCCTGTTTGTTTAGCGCAACAAAAGTACAGCTGTATGACGGTAGTCTGTAAATAATCGTATCAGACAACCCAGTGATTCACATCAATAGAAACGATGACAGAGTATGTGTTTATGAATCACTATCAAAATTAATGGTGATGATACCAGGTGTTCGCGGAAAGATTAGCGTATCCTGCCACATCGTTGGCACCCGTCACAAATACATGCAAAGGCTAGGTCATCTGAAATTGTTTTTTTGCAAGTCAAAATAGGCAATTGAATCAGACATCATTTTGTCACCAACAAGCCCATAGAACATTTTGAAAGTTTTACTGATGTTGTGACCTTGCTTGCACAACTTCTGTACAAGAGTCGTGTGAAGTTGTTTGAAATCTTGGCATAAAGTGTATAGTCGATTGTATTTCACGTTGTGAAATGTAAACACCAAATTCTGGCGCTATTGGAATATTTTTCGAAAAGAGGCGCCTAACGAAGACTCGATTATTTACAGACTGCCATTGACGACCAAGGAATATTGCTGAGTCAGGCGGTAAACAGCAAGCAAGCTCTTTCACTCACTCTCACTCGCTGCCCATATGTTCGTATCACCGCTGTTGCATGTTCTTCTTTGTCAGCGTCCTACCTACGTTCAGTGGTTTCAACAGAGCGATAAACCAGTACAAATTCCTGTACATGCGAGCTTTCCTTCAAATTTGCTGATTTGCTTATGTCTGAATCGATGTCAAAGCCACACAGTCTCACTTTACACATCACTTTTCAGAACTTCAATCAGCCCTTTCCAAGACAAAGAAAAATATGTTAGAACAGTTCCAGTTCATAGCCGTCGTCTCAATGTTAATGTGGATGCTGACGTCATCAACGTTGGTGCCGTTAAGGAAGAGGAAGGACTGTGCCCTGAGATGTGTCTGTTATCGGTCAGAGATTAAGTTTAGACATAAACATATTGTTACAATGCGCTGCAAAAACTTGGACTTAAGACAGGACCCTTTACCATTACCTCCAACAGAGTCCAAGGAAACGCCCACAGCCTTGTATTTGGAGAATGGCACTTTTCCCGATGTCCTAAACACTACTCTATCTGTGTATTCTCCATATAGAATCGTTACTCTTAGTCTGAGACGGAACGCCATCGAACACGTCGCCAAGGGCGCCTTTGCTAATTTGGGTGATTTGGAAACGCTTGACCTCTCAGAAAACTTCATAAATGAAGCCATTTTAAAGGAATCGTTCTGTGGAATGGCCAAGACTCCAATGACGACATTGAATATCAGTTCCATGAGTCTTCAAAATGTTTCTGATGACTTTTTTAAACATTTCGAAAATATTTCTGATTTCGAACTTATTTTTCGGGACAATACAAATCGGTTCCCGAAAACTGCACTTATGCGACTGAATCTCATGACCTCGCTTGATTTTGGGGGAAACAATTTAACATATATAAATCTTCACAACACTAGTTTTACATATTTGACATATCTAAATCTTGATAACAATCGCTTTTATCGCTTTCCCGATTTCTGTTTCCAAGAAAGCAGGAGTTCACGTTTCCCGAACCTTAAAATCCTAAAAATTCAGTGGAATGATATGAGACATATACACCAAGCTCATTACAACTGTCTTACTACTCTCCAAAATTTGTACTTAAATGGTAACCTGTTCCCAGAACTAAGATCCAATCAGTTTTCGATGCTTCCAAACATTTACAAGATCACCCTTTCCTACGTAGGATGTGCAATGCATACTATTGAACGAGCCGTGTTCAATAATTCGGCATTGAAACAAATATATTTTCGGAGTAATCATAAATGGTTTCATAAGGGGAAGATATCTAAAGAAACTGACTTACGTCTATTTGAAGGGTGTTCATCCTTAGAATTATTGAATCTTAATGATAATATTTTCCGAATCACCACAGAAGATGATTTCAATATATTGCTTGGAGGTCTTACTTCTCTGCAGGTTTTAGTCATGGGAGGTAATTATCTACCGTATATACCCCGTGTTATAACTGAAAAATTAACCAAAATTGAAAGTCTTGCTCTGTATGGAAATATCATATCAGATTTAAAGCCATTACAAAATATGACAAGTTTGAAAAGGTTGTTCATGGGAAGCAATGAAATAGCAACCATAGATGAATCAATTTTTCAACCCTTAAGAAGGAATTTAACGGAAATTTATCTCCCGATGAATCCGTTTTCTTGTACATGCAACATATATTGGTTAGTTGAATGGATGCGCAATGAACCCGAAAAATTTGGTTTTATAAAGTATCCAGAATCTAAGCGTAGCTACACCTGTTCAAGCCCATCGAACCAGAAAGGACGAAACTTGCTTGATTTGGAAATGTCGAAAATTTCGTGTTTATTGGATATGGGGGTGAAAATTGCAACCCTCACCTTGAGTATTCTGCTCATGGTGTTTTTAGTAGTCGGGGCAGTGATATATCGTTACCGTTGGCACATCCGATACTTCATCTACATGGTCAGATACAGTCAACGTCAGGAGGTGGACACCGTCGACTACGAATACGACGCATTTGTGGCCTACTCTTCACCTGATCGACCCTGGGTAATTAAAACTCTCCTTCCAGTTCTTGAAGGCAAGGAAAGCCTGAAACTTTGTGTTCACGACAGAGACTTCGAGGTTGGTAAATTAATCGTCGATAACATTGTGGATTCAATTCAAGAAAGCCGCAAAATTATCATTGTCCTGTCGAATGAGTTTGCCCAGAGTGGATGGTGCCAGTTTGAACTCAATCTCATCCAGCGACACGTACTGGAGAATGGTCAGCGCCTCCTGGTGGTCGTCATGCTGGAGGAGATAGACACACGTCACGTGACCAAAGCTATGAGAGCCATGTTGCAGACAACAACCTACCTGATGTGGGGAGACGAAGATTATGCTAGGAAAGCCTTCTTCAACAGACTGAGGATGTTACTTCGCAAAGTGACCAAACGTAGACGAGCAAGGACATTGTCAGTCTAGTCTACATGTTTCTAAATATCATTCAATCACCTTTATTCAAAGGCGGTCATTCGGTTGACAAAAACCTGTGTTTTAGACTTGGTGGAAGTGTTCTTCCGACAGTGAGTAACACCATATATGCTGGATCCCAGTAAGTAATAAACAACAAGCAGAACGAACAGAACGTTCCTGTGCAAAAGCCAGAAAACTGCTATATTCACTCAAGGACGTCGGCTTAAAGGCTGGTTTTATACGTCCTATAGGATGTGTCAAAATTTGGCGTAGAGTTATACTTCCTTGTGCATTCTATGCCTGTGAATTATGGACAAACATCACGGAAACAGAATATAGCATCACGGAGCGAGTTCAACGGTTATTTGCTCGTATTGCTCAAAACTTCCATAAGCGGTCATCTACTTCAGCAACTGTTCAAAGCTTGGGTCTCTGGTCAGTGCATGGAGCCATCGACAGACTCAAACTCATGCTGGAAGCTGGAAGCACCCACAAGAGAGTACTCCTGTATAGAATAGGACAGTTTATTACTGATAACACGTGTGATGTGTGGTTAACCCATGATCTTCTGAAAATTGTTCTAAAATACAATCTCTGGTCGCATGTGAATGAATTTATGAAGACTGGTAATTTTCCGTGCAAACTGGAATGGAGTAGAACTATAAATAGAAAAGTAGCCGACGCAGAATATTATAACTGGCAAATGCCACTCACTCAGACACCAGAAATGAGCCGTTTTGCCAACATTCATGGTGCTCTAGCCCCACGTCGACTGCGGGGAATGTGTGCACTGTACCCAATCTCAACCAGACCTATGTACAATGTAGTTAAACTTGGTGTATTACCTGTTGTAGGTGGGATGTGCCTACTGTGTGACACCGAGTGACACCGAGTAGAAACATTCCTACAACACTGAAGCACTTTTTCATTGCAAATGCTAGTTCTAGATAACCGATTAATTCTTAGGCACTATCCAGGGATATGTATTTATGCACATTGCGTCGTGCGCTCCTCAAGTTTTATGTCTTTCGTGTACAAACAAATATTTCTTTTCTATGTTTCGACACACATGTGTAGATCACCAGTCTTTGTCTTGTTTCATTCATGTTTGCGTGTTAGATCTGTATATGCAGGTTAGATTCCCGTTCAGTAGCCTAGATTCTAGTAACTTAGTCACAAAAACAGTTCCGAGAGTTTATACAATCATTTCCAGCAAAGACGAAGTTTTATGTATTTTACGATAGTCCGCCGATCAAATGATATTCGTGTAGATTTACCTCAGATACGCGCTCACATGATAGGTAACATTTGTGTTACATATAAGTATTTGAATAATGATGTATTAAACGTTCCGTTCCACGTGCAGTTGTATACTGTACAGAACAGTTTATACGCGAATCACATTATCAGTAGAAAATGTTATTGTCTACTCTTCATATTACCAGAAAATATACATTCAAATCCGTGTAGTTTGCATGTACAGTCTTCATTTATTTAGCTCCGTAATTTAAGAAATACGCGTAGCCAATGACAACAGCGCCGTACTAGTACATTATTACATATTCATTTAACTAAGTTACTGTTTTGCTTTGTAACGCACAAAAATGTAGCACTACAGCATTTCATATATTATAGGTCATGGCTTAACTCCGTATATGTCGACATTGCACGTTGCCAATAGCAACACCACCGTCTAAATACACTTACCGTAATCACCCAAATAATTCATGATAAAACAAGCTTAAGTAGTAGTACTCTAACTAAAACTAGGCCTACTGTCCCCGTATTTCCAACACTTTTATATCTCTCTAATATCACTTACCGTATCTCCTGAAATTATTGTATTGAGAAAATAAATGTTAACATTACAGTTTGAACGCGTACAGTCAATACCGGAGTTAAATAGTATATGTCAAATCTGAGCACTTCGCGCCGTTTACCGTATTTGCTCAAGGCATGTATGTTGATAACGGACATTTACTTACACTAGTCATAAATCGTTACTGTAGTCAATACATTAAGCGCAACGTACCGTAATAATCATAAATTCCTACCGTAGTTAACGCAATAGGCACTACATACCGTAATAGTCATTAATCTGCACAACAGTTAATGAACTAGGCACTACATGCTGTAATTAAACTGTTTGGCGCTCCACTCAGTACTTGTTCGTTGCAAATGTTGTTGATGATTAATTTATCCGTCAGGTTATGTTATTTATCAGTACCGTAGTTACTCAAGGAAATGTATTATTTGTATTATGTTTCTGTAAGCAGTTACCGTACATACCCTGTTGTACCACACATTGCTTGTATTACCTGACTTAGATATAAACTGTATTAGGATATCACTGATTATTATTTCTATTATTGTATGTCATTATTATGTATGAATTGATGTAATTTGAATGTCATGCAAGACACTTGCTTGAATAAACCCAGGAACTCACAGCTCTGCCTCCTTTCTTGTTTCAAGGCTCGCTCCCTATAGCTAATTCCCCAAATCGAGGCCTGACAGCCCCTTTAGCACACCTAGCGCTAAAGGTCGTCCTAACGGACACAAAGCACAAGCTGTCTTACTAGGAACATGGAAACCGAACACTAGCAACATGTGTCAATATTGCGTTTTTGTGAATCATGTATAGACATCGTTAACCGAGTGTGTTTCCGTATGCGAGCCTATGGCGATCATAATACATATTTTTTATTCCTAAATATGATATTGATGATACGGGAACACACGAGGTTAATGAAGAGAATTCGCGTAAGAATGCTTAGCGGTACACCAAGGTGAAGGTCGTTCATAACGGCGGTATATGGTTGTGACTAGTCGTTAATGCAGTGCAAACATTGCTCATGCCTAAAATAAGATCTTTCTTTCTAAAAAGAACAACAAAATCAGGCAGGTTTTGGTAGTGTTTCTATGTTCATGGCAGGTAATCACCTCATCAATATCAGTTTCTGATACCTGACAGAATCGATTCGTCGTCTTCTTTGTTGTGATCGATAGATCTAAATCCTTGGTTGGTACATTTTTTAGACGATAGCCGGTCACTCGTGCCTCATAATCCGTACTTTCAATTTGAACGAAATTCTCCGTTTCATGTTTTCCAAAGTCAATTACTGCAGTAACGACTCCAGAACCTCTGTCATCAATTCTTACTGAATCACCATATTGATAATGTGGGCAGCCATGTATGCTTACAAACTCGTCCACGCAATGTAAGGGACGGTGGGGTAGCCTAGTGGTTAAAGCGTTCGCTTGTCGCAACGAAGACCCGGGTTCGATTCCCCACATAGGTACAATGTGTGAAACCCATTTCTGGTGTCCCTCACCGTGATATTGCTACAATATTGCTAAAAGTGGCGTAAAACTAAACTCACTCACGCACTAACTCAACGCAATGTAAACTCGCGACGAGGTCATCAATTAAATGTTTAACGTTTTAGTTTTGAGAAAGTAGTTCCTGGATTGACGTAATTTGCATAATTATCAGACTTGGATACCGAGTTTATCAGATTGCTATGTTGCACCGATAACACCCCCCATTAGATGATAAAAAATATTCTTTAATATCGTAATTATTTTTTTATTGCAAATATCAGAAGTATTTTAGGCTCGAAACCTTTTGACACTCCCTCGAATATCGAATTCAAACCACAACTTTAGAACCAACTTAATAATAATAATAGGCTATTTACCATGCACACTGCTCCATGCACAATGCATGCTCGAAGCGCCCAAACAATCTGATTATTATTATCCCGGGTAACTCGGGCAGCTGCCTGTTAGGCGCCAGAAGGTTATAGTTACATAACTGTATCCCACCGGGTACCAATTTTCTGCTGGGTGAACCGAGGCAATTTTGAACAAAGTTCGAAACATACGGGTTTTTTTACTATATTTTGAGTAAGTACTACTACATGTCAGACAATTAGTCAATCAATTTCTGTCACACATAAATCCTAAAGGTCACGAAGAAGAATGAAATTGTATCCAACTTTCCCGTTCTCTCACTGATAATATTTTACAGGAAATAAATTCTGATTTTCCGTGTATGACCTCCTTATGTCATCCTTTCTGTGCGTGATGTATAAATCATGAATTGCAGTTTATGTTCCGTTACGTAAGAATTGAGTTTCGGTTTAAGTGAGCTCACTGGATTACAAGCCTTTATCAAAAGCGGGACAATGTTAGACCATTATGCTTGGAAGTTTCTCGAACTAAAGTGAAAGTCTATTGTTCTAGATTTCTGTACCACCATGAGGGAAGTATTACATAATTACATTTAGGACAAGGGTCGGTGGGGTAGCCCAGTGGTTAAAGCGTTCGCTCGTCACGCCGAACACCCGGGTTTGATTCCCCACATGGGTACAATATGTGAAGCCCATTTCTGGTGTCCCCCGCCGTGATATTGCTGCAATATTGCTAAAAGCGGCTTCAAACCAGACTCGCTCAGTCACATTTAGTACAGGCGACAACCAACATTAACGGTCAATAAAATAGTTCACCAACAGGAGAGGCTACGTATGACCAACTTGTCCTACAGGCACATCTTTTGCTGAATGTATTTGCATGAATTTCCAGGGATTTCAAAATCATTCACATACCTCTTTTCATGAACTTCAATACCGTCACGATCTCGGATCCCAGAGGTTGATAGTATGATTGTAGCAATATTCCAACAATATCACGAAAGGGATACCGGATATGTGCTTCACACATTGTACCCATGTGGGGAATCGAACCCGGATCTTCAGCGTGACGAGCGAATGCTTTAACCAATAGGCTACCCCACAGCCGCTCCTGTCTGAGGATCATTATGGCAGCCATATTTGATTGTAATACACACACATGGTCAGACCTTGTGTTCGGAACACCACGATTATGGGACATTATGACGTATCGGTTACTGTTTGTTCCCTGTCAACAGCGAAGACTTGTGGATACATGTGTGCCGATTTTAGGATACGTATATATTCACTCCAGCATACGTATGCAATGAGTGAGTGAGTGAGTTTAGTTTTACGCCGCACTCAGCAATATTCCCGCTATATGGCGCCGGTCTGTAAATAATCGAGGCTGGACCAGACAATCCAGTGATCAACAGCATGTGCATCGATCAATTGGGAACCGATGACATGTGTCAACCAAGTCAGCGAGCCTGACCACATGATCCCGTTAGTGGCCTCTTACGACAAGCATGGGTTACTGAAAGTTCTTTCTAACCCGGACCTTCACGGGTACGTATGTATAATGTCTTTAGGATACGTACTTACTCTAAGATACGTATAAACTTACTTTAGGATAAGCATGTACGTACTTTAGGATACGTATTTACTTACTTTAGGATACGTATTTACCTATTCTGTGTTTCGTAAGGATACGTATGTAGTTACTTTACGATTGGTATTGACTTTTCAATGTCCCTAACATGCACGTCTTTTCGACAATATATTTGAGGAAAATATTCGCATTGTTTAAACTGAAACAGGCATTTGTTCATTTACTTTGTGTTCACTTTCTCCAAAGTTCTATCATATTTAAGCCACACGAAAAGCGGAAATGTCCGCATTCACTGATGCAGAGACTGAGCTGTAAGTCAAGTGTAGACAGTCGACTTCACGTCATCGCAGTCGTGCAAGAGTTACTTCCCTTATTTCGTTGAGAACACTACCACACCGAGGGAGTAAGATTTTACGCCTCCTTTAGCAATATTCCACCAATATCACAACGGGGAACACCAGAAATGGACTTCACACATCGTACTCATGTGGGGAATCGAACCAAGGTCTTCGTCGACACGAGTGAACGCATCAAACACTACAACAGCGCATTTATTCCATCATTTATTGAAACATGTCATCACAGTTGCATAGATCGATACTCATGGTGTTGATCACTGGACTGTCTAGTCCAGACTCGATCAATAGCCGACTACCGCCATAAAATAGAGATATTGCTCAGTGCGGAGTTAAACAACAAACACACAAACAAGTACAATATAATATAATACAATGCTTTACCAGCGAGTTAGACGTAACTCACGTAACTCACCTCTCACAAACGTCCTCGCTCTATGACAGAAATTGTGCCGATTCGACGTAAAATTTTAACTCACTCACTCACAAACGTCCATGCTACCAACAGATAACTCGTCAGGATCGCTGTAAAAATGTCAGTCGTGCAGACGTTTCAGGACATTC